TTGCTTAGGTGGCCCCCACAATCACCAGATCTCAATCCAATTGAGCATTTGTGGGACGAAGTTAAAAGAGCCATCAGGCAGCTGGTTCCACAACCATCAAATCTCCCAGAACTGGACAGTGCTGTTCATCAGGCATGGTGTCAGGTTCCTCACATCACCTTTCAACATCTTGTGGAGTCAATGCCAAGAAGAATTGCCACTTGGGGCTGGGACAGTGAATTATATATATTCATTGACTTCAGAAAGGAAGGGAGAGGGAGATAGAACATCAATGATGAGAGAGAATCATGGATCGGCTGCCTCTTGCATGCCCCCTACTGAGGATGGAGACTGCAAACCAGACACGTGCCCTGACTCAGAATCAAACTGTGACCTCCTGGTTCATAGGTCGACACTCAACCACTGAGCCACACCACTCGGGCTTGCACTATTCTTGTTCCAAGGAGACCAAACTCCTGCTTCATGGCCTTTGCATGAACTGTTCCCTCTGCTGACATGCTCTTCCTGCATACCTCTGTTGTGCTCTCCATCTACCTGCTCTCTGCTCAAATACCACCTCCTCATGGAGGTCCTACCTGACTGCCATGGCAGGCTCCTCCTTACCATTTTATTTTATTTATTTTTATGGAATCTATCAACAATGGCATTATATTGAAGGGTCATTTATTAACTATCGGATTCCCCTTCCAGATGCCAGGATCTTCTGTCCATCGTGGTCTCCCCAAGGATGGAACAATCAGTGGCACACAGCAAGCATTTTATAAAAACATACACAATCAGCAGCAGTGATATAAACCAAATACACATTGGCTGGTGGGCCTTCAGCAGGGTTCAGAGCAGGGTTTCCCTGCTGGTGCTTCACCTGTGACAAATAACACAATCCCATTTGTTGCAGATGAAAGCACCTTCCCATGGCACTCAGTGCCCCCCTCCCGTCCCCACTTTGACAACAGCACTCCCTTTGTTCACTGGCCACCATCGTGTCTGTTTTCTGGATGAGGAAACTAAAGCACAGAAAGGTTAAGTTGGCCTGAAATCATCTAGTGAGGAGTCGGGGAGGCAGGATTTAACTCTGGTGCTCTGACTCTTAAACCCTGTGCTTAGCAAAATACAAGAGAAATGCAAGTTCTGAGATAAGATGGGTCAACAATTTGCAGGGAGGTATCTGTTCAGGGAAGGAGCTGGGCTGGGCAGTGGGGATGGACCTGCTGCTGTGTGCTAGAAATTTCTGGGCTCTGCATTTTACCCGCTTTAGGGCTGCTCTAGGCAGAAAGAGGAGCACAAATTCCCAACACTCAACAGCTGGTTCCCCAGCCAGTCACAGAACTGGGAGCTCTTGCAGAGGGTCTGGACCTCCAGAGCAGTGCCACAGGCTGGGCTGTTTGCTAAAGCACCTAAGTCCAGCCTACCTCACTGGTCCTTGGTTCCTCCCATGGGGAACCTCTCCTCTACTCCATGGCCACAATGGTGCTGCTGGTGTTCATGAGGGGGGCATTTACCACTGAGTTCAGTGAGGCTAAAGAGGGGTGGCTCCCATCGGTATCTGTAGGCTCCAGATGAGATCTCTGGGTGATCCTGCCAGTATCTGACATTTGGGGGAATACAATCACTGTTCACTAAAAAGAGCTTCAATCCTTTGCTTTGTTCAT